TTCCAGGAGGGCCCACAACCACCTTGAGTTCACATCTTTGTTGGCTTTACAGGCTTTGGAAACCTACACAGCAGTGCAAGCTTATCCAGATATGTTCTAGCAATACAGGGATTTGGGAGTTCCTCAGGCTGCTGCTGACACTTTGCTGACACAAAGCCTTGGTCTAGGTTATCTGGTTGCCATCATTCTCTCTGAACATGTTTCTGTTCTTGAGGCAGGTGCTTCTCCAGGGCAGATATTTGTTTTGTTACTATGGCTTTTAGTATGTGCAAAGGCAGGAATACATGAAGATTTCTGGCCATTAGAGAATATTTCTATTCTCTTTTCAGGTGGCAGAAATCAATAAAGCCTCCAAACAAGGGGAATTGTTCTCGGTCTTTGGGTCTGGAAGGGGTGGTAACAGCAATTTGGAAACAAAATCTGTGTCTCTAGAAGAGGACTTTGTCCCTGCATCCCAGGTTCTCTCAGTAAGTACTGGTGGGATAGACATCAGGGAATGGTGTGTTTTGTCTGTCTGCCTTTTTATAAATTTATTTTGTGTCCTTTCTGTGGCCACAACTGTATATTTCTATTGTAATTGCTTTTTTCTGTCTGTCACATTGTTATTAGTGAATATAATCTCTGTGCAGGCCACAGCTTAAATAAGTTTTTCTCATCTTGCTCTATCCAAGGATGCTGCCTTGTCTTATTGCTGGCCTAGGACTTACACCTTATCCATTTCCCTCATCTCTCTGTTGATGGGTGTGATGATCACAGATTTAGAGCCTCCCCCAGTTTATAGCTGCCCACACTGGTGTATGCAGAAACTTAGCTGCCTTCATGATCCTGCACACAGGGATCTCACATCCAAAATTTCTTCTTCTTCCTCTCTCCCCAGTTCAAGCCCAAGCGTGTGGGAGCAGGATTTCCAAAGAAATCCAACTTATTCCAGACAGCTTCAGAACTGCTGAAGATCAAGGAGGAGAGTGATGCACAGCCTGTCAAAAAAGACTGCCCGAGTGGGCAAGACAACAGCAGCTACAGTCTGGACCTGGACACCAGAGACCCTGTTCTCCAGAGGGAAGAAACTGCAACCAAAGCAGTGGGTGAGAGTGCAAGGGTAGAACTACACCCAGAAAAGAAGGGGCAACAAACCAGTCCAGACGCAAAAACTGCCCTTGGGGAGAGCCCTGCTAAGAAGTCCAGACGTAGCAAGAAGCAGCAAATGCTGGCAGAAGCAGCCAAAAAGGAATCACAGGATATTTCCAAGTTCTTCTCCCTCCCCAAAAGTAGCTCTAAAGCTCAAAGCTGCAGCATAGCCAAGGAAGATGGCTGTTCTGCAAGCACACTACCTCAGGTTTCTTCTCAAAGTGTGTGTCAAGAGAAACTAACACCTCAGGAAAACAAAGATGGCTCTGGAGATGTGACTGGGCAGTTCCAGGCAGAGAATAAAGAACTGAGAGAAACAGAAGTAACACTGACTGAGGGAGGGGAGAATTCTAAGATGCAGCAGGCTGCTGAATCTGAATTCCTTGAGGAGGAAATGGATGTGAAGTCCAGGTAAAATCTCTGCTTCTCTGTTCCCTGTGTTGTCCAGAGCCCCATCAGCCTTGTCCTGGAAACCTGTGTGAGGTCTCTGGGTGAGTGAAGGAGGCTCTTGCTTTACCACACAGTCTCATGGCCACTGACAGTGAATGCAGAAATGTTTTCATGTGGAATGTTTACAATTGGCTTTCTCTCCACTCTTCCCAGTAGTGCTGCTGAAAATGTTGCAGAATCTGAGCTGCCTGTTGCTGGGGAAGGTGACAGTGGGAAACGACCAGGATCAGATGAGGTAAGACTTCAATGAATGCTGATTTCCTCTTTTTCTTCTGCTCATCGTGTGCCAAATTTCTCTCTGTGAGTGACACTCCCGCTCTGAGAGTGTCATTTATCTGGGGAGGGCCCAACTGCAGTTGCAGCAGAAAGGAGAACCTCAGTTGTGTTGCATTCCTGGTGTTTCCCTGCTGCCCTCTGGGCTGTGCCAGCACCTTGGGCTGCAGTGCAGAGCTCCCCCTCCACTGCTTTGTTCCCTCCTCTCTGCAACTCATGTGACTGGTGACTTGCCTGGAATGAGTGTCTCCACCCCCTGAGATCTGTCACTAATTATAATTAGAGAGCTGCTTTCTCAAGGCAAGGGCACAAGCACAGGCCAGAGACAGAGGGGACATTGGGCAGTGACCCCTGCTCACAGCCTGCCTTGCCATTCAGTCTGTGCTTCTGCATTTGGCAGCTCTGCAGCACTGCAGTCTCCTTTCTCTTCCAAACTGAGCAGGAGTGTGGCTCTCCTGATGTGGCTGATTCTTCCTGAGGGATGTATTCTCAGCAGCCATCCTGAGAAATCTTTTCCAGTCAGTTTTCCTCTGTAGGACAGGGTCTAGCAATTAGCTGTCCCAATAGGAGCACAGGGTAGTTCTGAACGTGGTATTCTTTAAAGGGTTTTTTTTCAAAGTCCCTTTGTGTGGGAAACGTCTGCACAGCAGATTAAAAGGAGTTAGAGAGATTACTACTTGGTATTCACTGGAGGGAGAGGCTGCAAGATGCTGCAAAGATTGATTTTTTGGAAGGTGGTGGCTGCTTGGAAGGGCAATGCTGCCACAGGCTTTGGTAGGTTTGGTTTTCTTCTGTCCCCTCTCCAGGATATGGAAAGTCCTGCAAAAAAGCGGCTCCGGACAGCAGCAAAATCTTCAATTCTGACCCAGCCAGAGAGCAAAAGTGTTGGTTCAACAAAGAAGAAGGTGACTTTTGACTCAAACTTAGCACAGTGTGATAAAGAAGGAAGCAGCAAGACCATACAGCCAGTGACCAAAGGCATGTCCCTCAAAGAGACTGCAGACATCGTTGTCAAGTATTTGACACCATTCTACAAGGGAGGCAAATTTGCTTCCAAGGTAGGGTATAGCTCAAGGCCCTCTTTCAGAGAATTCATCTCTCTAGGGATCTGAGGCTCTGAGAAGGGGGAGATGATCTGGGTCCCACTCTTTATTTCCAAGTTATGTTTTGGTATGTGCTGTTTTAGTGACTTCAGGTGCAGCAACTTCCCTCTCCCACAAAAGGGTTGATGTGTGTTGTGTTCATATTTTCACATGAAACCCTGGCACGTTTTTAACTCCCACCTGTGGAGTAGCAACAGCTCAGGTTCAGGGCTGGTGCAGTTTCCTTGCAAGGCAGGATTTGTGTGCCTGTGCTTCTCCAGCACTGCAGGACCAGCTCTGTGTGTTCAGTCTGGGAGGGGTTTGTGCTACAGCCAGTGGCCCTTGCTAAGGGCAAGACAAACATGGAAACAGAGTGGTGAGGTAACTGGTGTTTGCTTTCTGCCCTTTGTCTTCCCAATGCTGCAGGATCTCTTCAAGGGCTTTGCCAGGCACCTGTCTCACTTACTGACCCAGGAGCAGAGCTCTGCCCGCAGGACAGGTGTGTCTGGGGTTATTTCAGTGCCAGATGGGTTCATGGCTTTAGAGGGGGCAGATGTCTCAAGTATCAACTCAAAAGATGGTGTTTCCTCTTTTGCAGTGAAGGAGGAGGCACAGAGACTCATCAAGGAGTTTTTCAGAACAAGGCTCAGGTGTGAGAGTGAGGCGGACTGGGAGGAGCTGCAGAGCTCCGAGAGCTGATCCCTGCTGCTTGTTGGCTCTTCCTGCAGCAGCAGCAGCACCAGGAAATGTGGAAGAACTCAGCCATGGAGGGTTTTATGAGACTGCAGAAATGAGATTTAATTTTCTTTTCCCCACTGCATTTTTGCTCACTTCTGTCCTTAGTGACACACATTCCCAGGGAACCAGTTTTTGTGAGCTCATGGTGAGTATGATGGGGTACTGAAACCCTCAAGGACCAAGAGGTGTGAAGTTGTACCTGCTGCGTTTGTTAGGGGATGTTGCCTTGGATGTTCTGCACTGTCTCCAGCCTCTACTACCTGCAGCAGTCTGGGCAGGGCTCAGACATTCCAGCTGGGACTCTGCTTTGGGATGGCACCTTGCTTTCTAAATGGCTCCTCCCCTTGCTCCCCTCTCCTACTCTTATTTCAGTGTCACCAATATGCTACAAGTTCTCATGCTTTGCTCAGGGCTGCTAGTGACAAACTCAGTGTTTGAGTTCCTGGATGGAATATTTTCGTTTGAAGGGCAGGGGAGGAGCATTTTGTAATTACCGTGGAGGCAGTGCTTGCTTTCTAAAGGAGGAGAAACTTGGATTATTTTTCTTTTAATTTGAACTTCTTTAACTTTGTCCCGTTCTGTCTGCCCTTTAATTTAAGTGGTGATACTCTTTCAGTATTAACCTCTGCAACACTTCCAGCCTTTGCTTGTAATTCCTAAAGCCATATTTGCTCCCTGTGCCTCACCAGAAGTCTGTAGTACAGGGAGCAGTGCTGCTGTTACAGCTGGGTACGGTTCTGCTGTGACCCTCAAATTGACACTGGGGTACCTCTGCTGCTCTGTTTATATGGAACCTGAACCTGATTCCCTGGCACAAGTCCTTCCTGCTGGATTTCTCTTGGGTTCTGCCTCTATTCCATCCCTCAGGGGCTGGTGGCCTCAGGCTGTAGTGGTGCCAGAGGAGTGTGCAGCCTCAGAGGCTGCCCTGGGGGTTGGATCACTGTATTCCACAGCTGTATTTTTTTAAATGTTCTGAAGGGTAGATGCAGAACTGACAATAAAGCAATGTTACAACTGCTGTGGATTGTTCCTGGAAGCTTTTTCTTACCACTCAGTCACACAGACTGGTCAGAGGTACATTGAGCAGCACTCAAAGGGAAGCACCTGCCAGGGAAGATGCTGCAGTTCCCAGTGGCATCAGCTCACCAGCAAAAGTGTAACTTTCAGTTACTTACTTCAGTTTTCAGTGCACCAGGGCTTGCACTGAGCACTCAGATCTATCCCCCTTCTTTGCCAACAGTGACAGCATTTTCTTCAAGCTTTGCCCATTACCTGCAGTTAAGTTTTCCCAGGTTAGATGTAAAATCTATCATATCATACCTTCAAAACATATCTGTGATTATTTTATTGCAATTTCCTAAAGAGCAGTTACTCCTCAGGTCATTAGGAGAGCTGTGGCAATAAAAATAAATTAAATATTTTTGTACAACTCAAAACACTTCAGTATAATACAAGTTCTGTTTGAAGATGCTTCCTCCAGGGGCATGGAGCCATCACTGAAGTCTGACAGCTGCACAGCCATGACTGACTTCTTTGTAGTAGAGGGAAGCATATGCATATAATTATGTCAGTGAGAAATTAATTAACAATAAACTTCCTTACCATTGCAGCTCAATCTGTGCCCCAGCATATGTGTTAATTGTATGATTAACACTGATCTGCTTTTCAATTAGGATGCTTTCTACAAACTCCTGCTTCACAAGTCCTGCTACAGGACCTCTGCATATCAATTTAGAGAAAATTCTGGCTCCTGGAAAACAGCAGCAGCCCATGCAGGCATTGCAGGGCCTCAGCTGGGCATCAGGATACACAAATTTCTAGCAAGCACCAGGCTTTGCTCATAATAATTAATTCAAAACAGAAAGGAGGAGTTGCACAGTGCAAAGCTTGAAGGCAAGTGCTTGCTTTGGGTCAGCTGCTCTTTGTTGGAACGGGCTGTGGTGTGGAGAGGCCCTTGGGGTTTGTTTAGCCACAGTGTGGATTGTTTGAAGGAAGTGCTTGGGGACTGAAGGGCAGGTCACGAAGATTATGGTCACTCCATTAACAAACACTGTGGTGGCATTCTTAGAAAGCAGCTGGCTGAGGTCATGGGTGTCTTCTGGAAGAGTTCTCTCCCAAAGACTGGTCAGGGAGCACTGATCAAGTTCACAGAAAGGGAAACAATGCTGTTTTCCTTGGCCATTCTCCTCCTTTTAGGCTCTAGGAGTGCAGCTCTGTTTTATCCAGGATGACAACAATTGTGTGGTACAGTTCTTTGGCCTGTCAAAACACAAACCAGGATCAATCACTCTTCCCCAGAAAGACCTGCTTCCCCTAATTGAATATCCCCATAAATCACTTCCCATCATTAAATATCAGCCACGTGCTGGGACCAAGCTGCACTTTGGAGCCCGGACATGCAGTGTCCCCCTCCTCCTTTGGGACAGGAGGGAGGAGCGGCAGCACCATCCCTTAGCAGAGGCTCAGCTGGGCAGGGGAGGGCACTTTGGGAGGTGCCAGGAGGAAGCTGCAGGTGCAGGCAGGTCTCACCTGTGGCAGTTCCACCCACATGGCCCTGGGGCTCTCAGGGGAGCCGTAGTGCAGCTCCAGGCCGGGGAGGCCCCCGTTGGCCACGGGCCTCAGCGTGCGCAGCTTCTGCAGCTCCCGCAGGGGAACAGCCCGCGACACCACCTGCCAAGGGAAAAGCCACCAGCCACCCTCAGGAGCAGCCCCTGCAAGTGAAAACCATCTCGTTCTCACCACAGGTCACCTCAAGAGCCTGGTGAAAGCTGAGGGAAGAGCTGAGGGTGGTGTGTGCAGGATACAGGGCAGGCTCCGGCTGCCCAGCACAGCCCTGGAACTCCCACGGGACTGGGACAAACAGGAACGTGTTCTGCATTTGGTTTTACTGTGGATTGTGCTTGTTAGCATGAACACTGGACTTACAAAGAGCCCGTGGCAGTAATGCCTGTTCTACACTCTTGCTTTGGGCCAGTGCTGTTGTCAGAGTGGCTGTGATGCAGGGAAGTCCAGCCTCTCCCTGCACAAGTTCTTCTAAAGTCCCAGTTAGTATCTAACAGACATCAGGGGGAAATGTCTGGCATACCTGGCTGGTGCCATCCACCACGATGATCTCCTCCTTGTTCACACCAAAGAAACAGGGCACAGGGACCATCTCATCACTGATTCTCTCCACGACGAAGATGGTGTAGCCAAAGAAAGGCAATTTCATCACATTCTCTAGAAGAGAGCAAAGAGTGGCCTGAGGGCAGCAGCTTTCAGCCAGCAATTTACTGCACCAGCCTGGGGTGGTCAAAGCTGCCAGCATTCCCAAGATTTTCTACATTAAGAAGTAATATTGACAACTTCTGCCTCCTTCCCTGGCCTCAGTTCTCAGCAGCCTGAATGTATGTCCTGTCCTTTTCTGACCTGAAAACAGACATGCAGCCAGAATAGCAATTAAAACACAGCTTCTACAGAGCTCTGAAAATCCACTGCAGACTCCTACAAGAGATGAAACTTCTACCATGATCACCATGCTTGGGAACAAGATCTAATCCACAGTGAGGAGCTGGCAGGGAATTCCGTTCTCATGGCCCATTCCAGGCTCCAAGAATCATCAACAACTTCTTGAATTGTCCCAAAAGTGCATTCAGAGCAGCTTCCAGAAACTGAAACAGCATAGAAACTGAAGCAGATCTGGATGTGTCCTCACCTATGAACTGGATTTTTGCATCCAGTGGCTGGAGGGGCTGCCTTGTTCTCAGCAGTGTGGCCGTGTGGTTGTGCAGAGCCTTGGGGCTGATGGAAGCCTGCAGGGTCTTTGGAGTGTATTCCTTCAGCTCTTCCCTGTGCCAAAAAACAGATTCTATTTCACCCCCCTGCCCAGCTAAAATCAAACATCAGCCAGGGGATTAAGAGGAAGGATGGGATGGGGTAACAATTTTCCATTGTATATTTGGGAACAAGGGTGAAGGGTGAGAGGAATAGCACAGGAGGTGATGCCTGCATTGGGTAAGGTGGAAGGAACCATCAGAGACAGTGAGACCACCCTTGTCCACAGAGAATTCAGCTGTGCACCACTGACCAGTGCTTGGAAAGAAATCCCTCCTTTCTGGAGACAGCAAGAGCTCTTCAGTGACCAGGAGGGTTCTGCCATTTCCCTGCTGCTGGTGCTTTAAGGGAATCTTAGAGAGGCATTACCTCAACTCTAAGTCAAAGTGCATAAAGAAAGGAAGGAGTGGCAAAGTACAGCTTGGAATTGCAGGGCTGAAGGTTTCGATTATCCAGGGACAATTTTGTTCCTTTTGGGCACCTCACCACAGATTTCAGGTGTCCAGGGTTGAAACCTCTGACATTTGTGAGAGAACAAAGGAGGATTCACTCAAACCATGAGCTCATGCCCTTCCTTCTTGGTGTTACAAATCCAAATTAAATTACCATGGCACCCTCATGACCCTCTCTGTTCTCCAGAACTGGACATTTCTTAATTATTCAGAGAGGACTTCCAGGTACCTGCTCCTATCCCCTGTGGTGCCTATGGGCATCACAGAGAGATCCCCTCTACCACAGACATACCTGGAGGGAGCAGAGTTGTGCTGCTCCCCTTTGGCCCAGTGCTGGAGCATTGCCAAAAGGCCCACCTGCATCTCCATTTCTTTACTCTGGTTCAGCAGGATCCTCCCGTTCAGGTAATCCCACAGCACCTGAGGGACAGCACACCAAAGAGGCCTTTGTTAAACCTGCCACAGGGTACAGGCAGGTCTGGGCAGTGCCAGGCTGCACAGACCCACATCCTGCCTTACTGATAATGCAAAACAAAGGCTCTGTGGGCTCAGGAGGAGCCTGGGGAGCTGCACATGGAGCAGCAGTGCTTCAGGCTAAGGCCACAGGCACAGAGCCTTCCTGCCATCCATAGCTTCAGTGTTGACTCACTCCCAGAAACAGCACACAAAGCCTATCAGCCAAAGCTCTGCTGCTTTTTCAGCCCCCTGGGACCTTCCTGTTGGCTGGGATTCTACATCTGTCCCTGCTAGGGAGGGTCCTGCTCCTGCTTACCTGTCCATAATGGACATCTGTGTAAACTTGGTTGTCAAAGTGCAGAGGTGCCCTCCAGATGAGCCTGCGTAAGGTGACAGTGACCAGCTTGTCCTCCAGCAGGTAATCATGGAGATACTCCTCCAGTTTTATTGGCCTCACCATTTTACCTACATGACACACAGAGAGGGTCATCCATCACTCTTGGTGGAGAGGCTGGGACAGGAGCCTTCCTGCACACCTCAGTTCCACCCTGCCCTGAGACTCCAAGCATCAGCCATTCCAAAGAGACACGGAGCCACACAGCTCCTTCAGGAACAAGCAACACAGCCTCTGAGAAGGATCAGTCCTTAACCCTAATACAGAGTGAAACTGCTTAAGAGCACCCTCCCAGGAGCCAGCAAGGGTGGAGGAAATATTCCAGGCAGGAGCTCTGATGCTCCCTGTTGCAGAGGCTGCTGGAAGAGAGAAGCTGCGTGCTTGTCTCTACTTACCGAGATTTTTGTCACCACTCCTGACAGCAAAGAGGACAAAGTCCTGTATCTCTTGCTGTTCACTTATTCCCATCTGCTCACAGATCTCCTGCAAGAGCTCCTTGGCCACCTGAAGCAAGGAAAGAAGGAAATTAATACCATGAGCAGGCAAGCCCGAGAGCAGGTAGATGCATTATTCCTTGTCAGATAAGGGATTTCCCTGGTGTGGCTCAGAGTCCAGACCAGTGAAGGAATTCACAGCTGGAAACTCACAGTGAATGTCCTGATCCTGGTGAGGTACTCACAGTGAATGTCCTGATCCTGGTGAGGTACTCCACACCTCCAGGCATCAGCACCACCAGCCGGCGGGCACCGTGTCCCTTCTGCAAAGGACAATGTTCAGGCAGGGTCCCACCATGGGTTTCTCAGCCCCACGTGTGCTTCTCCCTCTCCTTCCTCATCCCTGCTTCCACTGCTTGTCCACAGCACCTGCCTCTTCCCTGCCCACTCCATGGCACTGCACTTCCCAAGCTCCATTTCCTCTCCTGAAACACCAAGTGTCCCTGTCACACTGCACCTGGCACCTCCAACAAAGCCTCTCCTGTGGAGGGGCTCACAGCTGGTCCGTGGGCCACAGAGGGTTAATGGACAAGGTTTTATTTCTGAAAGGTATTCTACCAAGGCTGGAGACTGAGAAGAAGGAGAAGGAGATAAGTGAGAAAGAAAACCTGCAGCTGGGAAAGTATTTTTAGAAAAGTCTTGGGAAAAACAGAGACATTGATGGTTTTACATCAATGAACATTACGTTGATTTATTGTAACCAATGAATAAAGTGTAAACTTTGTAGAGTGTTTAAAAGACAGATAGCTGTGGCAACAAGGGGGATTTCAGCTTTCTGTAGTGTGTCACCTCAACAGTGACATCTTCCCTCTCCCCCAGCACCCCCCTGCCCTGCCCTCCATACCAGCAGTGCCTCCATCTCCACAGCGAAGGGCAGGTGCCGGCGGCCCCCGTACAGGAAGTTTTTGCGCAGGTTGCTCTGGCAGATCTTGGCTATGTCTGCAGCAAAAAGAAAAAGCTCCATGTGCTGAGCCAAACAGAGAACTAAACATCGTGTCCTGTGCTTTGGGTCATCCTGGATGGGTTGAATTTAACCCCTGGTCACTGCCAGGGGAGCAAAGAGACTTGACCTCACCTCCCACCCTTCCAGGACACATCCAAACCATGACAGTATCCAGGACAGAGGAATGACAGTATGGGGGGATTAGATCTGGAATATTTGCTTTACAGGACACAAACAGTCTCACCGTGGTGGTTGCTGGATGGATCACTGCTGGCCAGCTGCAGGAACTTGGTGGCATAGGGCATCAGGGTTTTGGAAGGCAGGAAGTACCCAGTGAGCAGGTTTAGGAGCAGCCAGCCCCGCATCTCACTCTCCCTGAGGATCAGAAAGGACTGTGGGCACCTTGGGACAGGACAATTCCTGCTCTGAGCAGCTCAAAGTGAGCTTGTGCCCTTCTGAACACCTCTGGCAGGTGGCAGAAAAGGAGGTGTCAGCCCTTGGTCAGAGGTTTCTGTGCTCAGCAAGAGATTGATTCAGTTATTCCAACAGTAATCAAAGGAAGGGAGCAATGAAGGCCACTCTGATGCCGCTGCTGCCACCTCACAGGGCAGAGTGGGGCCAAGCCAGTCCTTGACTGGTGTTTATCAATTGCCCAAGGCTGGGAGGAGGAAATCAGGATCCACCAGGAATGTTCACTGGTGCCCAGATAAATCAGCAGCCAGAAATATAAGGAAAAATATCCACTAAAGTGAAAATGCCTGACCCAGTGACTGGCAAAATTTCCTGAGTGCTGAGCAGGAGCTTCAGCACTGGAGCAGCTGGGGAAAACCCATCATAGGGGACACCCTCTCCCCTGGCCCTGGTGTCCCTGCAGCAGATAGCTCCTCTCCAGCTGTGCACACACTGTGCACTGGCAGTGCTGATACTCACTGCTGAGGGTTGTGGGTGACCTGTTTGAAGACCTGACAGTAGATCTCATCGTGTAAATTCTCCTTCTCCTTGCACAGCTGCATCCAGACAGGAGAAAAGAACATAAGAGAGGGGATGAGAGCATCAGAGATGTCCCCAGATCATCTCTGTGCCCTTCCTCTCCCAGCTTCAGAGTTCTGCCAGTTTGGCTTAAAGTTTGGGCTTTGCAGCCTCAGGTCTCTAATGCTATTTAGGCTCAAAGGAGGAGAGAGGAGAGGCAGGTTGTGCTCTCATCCAGTGATATCCAGGGAGACTGTTTACATGCAACCCCTCCCCACAGTCTGTTCCACCTCCCTTCCTCAGGTAGGAGGTGCCATTATGGCTCTCCCTGCTCTTTTCCTTCCCAGCAAGGTCTTGGCCCTCCATTCCCATTAGTGCTTTCACACTTTTCCCGGGGGAAGCCCACAAACCTGGAGGATTTCATAGATGCATTGGACCTCAGCCTGGTGCTTGTGTTTTGGCTGATCTCCCATGAATCTCATCAGAGCTGCAAGGCAAAGCCTGGCCTTTAGTCTGAGCAGGGGTGGTTCTGCCATGGGGCTGGCAGTGGGCAAGGAAATGTCCTGATCTCTGCTGTTACAAGGCTTGCACTGGACATGTGGAGTCAGCCCAAAGCCCAAGCAGAGCGTTCTGAGACACTTTGCACTCAAAGTCCCACTTGCTGGAAGTTTTCAGCGAGCACACGGGGGGTTATGAACTGCAGAAATGCCTTAGAAGGGCCCTCCTCACCCAGTCTGCACACCCACCGACCCCACAATGTCTGTGTGTGCCCACCCTGCCCACCCCACTGCCCCCTCTGCAGTGCTGGGTCCCAGGCAGTGCCTTACTCTGGAAGTTCTTCGTGGCCAGCTCGTTCAGCTCACTGTCAGAGTAGCAGAGCAAAGATGCCTGGATTGGGACCTGCAGGGCCAGAGCACAGGGATGCACCAGGGCTGTGGATCACAGAGCTGTGCTCTGCAGGCTGTGCCAGACACTCCAGGATCCCACAGGCAGCACCCAAGAGCAGGGGACACCTACACTTGTCCAGAGACTGCAGGCAAGGATCTGTTCTTGGGGACAAAGGCAGGGGCAGTGCTGGAGCTGGGGCCGTGGCCAGGGGGAGAGGTGAGCTCACCTTGGTGTGCCGTACCAGCTCAGTGACACTCTTCTTCTCAGCAGAGGTCCCCTTCAGGCCCTGCCTAGACACAGGAGAGGGAACATGCAGTTCAAGAAATAGCCCAGAAACAGGCTGGTGTGGGTCAGGCTGCCCAGGTCCTGGCTGGGAAGGAGCACAGCCTACTCACATGGGCTGAGCCTCTCTGAAGTAGGCGGTGGCGAAGTCAATCATGGTGTAATGGTCACCAGCAGGGACTACCATGGTGCTGCTGGCTCCTGCTGTCAGGCTGAGGACAGAACCCTGCAGGAACACCACCAAACCCACCCTAAAACATCAGCTGAGGAACTGCAGCTCCTCATCTGTGTGTGGTGCCTCCCCTCCAACACTGTGATGGATTTGAGTGTCTCATCTGCAAACACTAAGCACTCACCACCTTCCCTCTGCCCTCAGACACTCCCAGAGCCACGGACCCGCCCTGGCAGCTCCCACAGAACCCAGCCATGTGCCCTGGGTGCTCCTCCCCAGCCCTGCTCACCTCCCTGCTGGTGTTCCTGCTCTCCGGGGAGGCTCTCAGGCTCTTCCTCTGCTCTCCCCGTCTGTCCATGCTGCTGCTGAGGTAGTCGGGGGCAGGAGCCAGCTGCACCAGGCTGGTGGGGAAGAGACCACAGCGGCCACCGGTGGAGCCAAACTGCCACCCTGGAAAAAAAAACACAGAGAGGGTCAGGAGCCAGGGCAGCTGCAAGAGAAACGAGCACTGAAGCTCTCTGTTGGCAAAGGAGAGCATCAGACTCACCAGGTTTTTCTGCGTCCTAAGGAAACATATAATACATACATACATATATATATATATATATATATATATATATATATATATATATATATATATATATATATGGTTATATAACATATATTCCTGTAACTGAGGCAACTGGGACAAGGCTTGTCAGGCAGAGCTGGAGGCTGATGATGCCAGCCCACCCTGCATTCCTCTGGTTCTGGGCACCATGGAGCCAGCAGGCCCTTGATCCTGGTCCTGCCAATCCCAACACAGGCCCTCACCTGGCTCCACGCCCTGCATGGGCAGCAGCTCGATGAGATCTCCCTTCTTGAAGCTGAGCAGGCTCTTGTCATCCACGACGTAGCTGCGCAGAGCCACGACATAGTTGGTGTCCTGGGGAAAAGGCATGGCCAGCTCAGGTCTCATCCCAAGGATGTGAAGGGCTCAAATCATGTCATCCCATGGACACTCTCAGGTTCATCTAGGAAACCACCTTCATTCCCTACTGCACTCCAGCTGCTGCCTCACCTGCCTCAGCTCCTGCATGAAGAGTTCCACCATGGCCTTGATGCTCGGAGCCTTTGGAGAGTGCAGGATGAGCTGCTCTGTCTTCAGGGAGAACTCCAGGGAATTGCTGCCTTTCATCTCCACTGACAGCACATCTGCAAAGCTGGGAACACAAGCCAGCATGTTCAGGCTCCTTCTGCCAGAGCTTGGGATGCAGAATGTGGGATGGGATCCCATTCCAAGGACTGGGAATGGAGACATGCCTCAACATTTTCCATGCTGGCCTTCCACCAGCTGCTCATGGCTTTCACCCTGAGGAGCTCCCTGTGATGACACACGGAGCTGATTCACCCCCAGCGCTCACTTGTTGTAAGCAAAGGTCAAGGTGTGAAGGAAAAGGAGAAGCCAGACTCATTAAAAGGAGGGTCAGTGAGTCACAGCTGGCCAAGGACAATCCTAGAGAGCACAGCACAACTCGGAATTTTCAGCTCCCCCATTCAGTTTGCCACCAACACCCTGCCTGACACAAACTGTCCTCCTGCAGCAGCCAGGGCCCCTCTGCTCACCAGTAGCTGCGTAGGGTCTTGAGGTGCTCAGGGTGGTATCCAGCTGCTTTCTCCACCTTCAGCAGCCTCATGCCCCGGTGAGAAACACCCAGGATCTGCACATCACTTCCCTTTTCACCCTGTAAGGGAAATGCAGCACAGAGAATCGAAGGCTCCATCCCACCTGCACAGGTGGTGGCACCAGAGAAAGGAGATGCCACAAAAGAGGTGTGAAACCCTGCAAGGTAGGGAAGGTACAGAATCACTGCAGTGTGGCCAGGCAGAGAGACAGAAAGAGGGAACTGGAGCCACAGATAAAGCAAGCCCAGGGTCTGGTGAGAGAATTGAGACTCACCTGAACAGGGAAAAGGCGGGAGAAATAGTTGGCCCAGTTGTCCCGAGCAGCCACTACAATCCTCTTCTTTATCCCGTCCTCCTGAATGGACTGGGCATTGTTGCCAACTTGGAACTCCGCTGGTAAGGTCACAAAACAGTTACTTGCTCAGAAAGACAAAGGTGGCCAAGCCTCCCTCTTGCCAGGGATTCACTCCCAGTAGTCCCTCTGTGTTCACAGCACAGAAAGGACACCTGCACATACCAGTCTGCTACTGGTTTCCATCCCTTTCTCCATGAAGATCATGTCAGAGATGGCAGTTGGAATTTGAAACAAATCAAAATCCTATCCTTGGGCTTCAGTTTCCTCTCCCCACAATAAACATTTCAGAACTAAGTTTTTTTGGCTCATGGAAATTTCAGGGCCATTTGGAATAAACAAACATTCCTACGCTGCACTCTAAAATGTGCTCTCCTGCTGCAGTGACAAACATTTCTCCTGTGCCCTAAGTACTGACTGAAAGGCTTGGAGGCCAGTTTGTCATTGCAGAGCAGAAGCTGGGATGGGCACAGAGGGGAAGGGGTGAGGGGGCTGTTAATTACTCAGCAGATCTTTCATCTTGCGCTTCTCCTCCTTGGAGATCCGAAAGCTGGACTCAGAGAAGGTGTCACGGATGATCTGCAGAGGAAACAGAGAAGTTTCCATTGCAAAGGTCACACCTGGCTCTGTTGGAGCATCTGGGGCTGTTAAACCGAGTCTGAGAGGAGTGAACAGGGACTGGATTGGATGGATCTGGAGAAGAGACTTGCACTGCTCAGGATGGAGGAGTGAAGGTGACTTATGCAATGTAATTATGGAGTGTTTTGTCCCCAGAGAGACAATTGGCCTTGAGCCACACTCCAGTGCTTACCTGCTCGCACAGCAAGTTCAGACAATAAGGGTGGCTGAAATTTTCTTTGGGGTAAAACACCTGCAAGAGGAGGGTAATAGTGGTGTTACAGATATTGCAGAAGTAGCTCCCCAGGGATGTTTTGCAATCCCTCTGCCAAGGAGGAGTGAGTTCATCTGCAGAGACAGGCAGGGAGAAGACATTGTGAATGTAAACAGAAGGACCAAAACCTGAGTGGTCAGAGCAAGGGATGAAGCCTGGTGAGTTTAGCACACTCTCCAATACTTGGTTTTAAACACATTTGTACTATTTTAACAGGAAAGCACCAGGCAACAACAAATTCAGTTTTAGATTTCTCAGTGGTCTACAGAGGAAGGAAAGGACAGGCAGAGAAACTGAGACACAAGTGTCAGTAAGGCAGAGCAGGACCTGGATTCCCCATGACATGATCATGGCCTCCAACTCCTGTGTCTGTGATCCCAGAATTATCTTTGTGCTCTTATCTTACACTGAGTGCCTATGACCACAAAAACCCCATTTTAACCCAAGAAGGGACAAGCTCCAATCCCCAGCTAAGGAACTGAACCTCTTTGCGCAGAAAAATTTTCCAGGCGGGGTCGATATAGGAAAAGCTGACACTGGTGGTGAGCTTGTACAGCTGGGTCTTGATCCCATCATCATCTGCCATTGTCACAGCAGGGTCTGTATGGGGAGAAAAAGCAGTGAAGATGGGCTGTGAGGGTTACAAGGTCCTTTCCACACACCAAAGACCTGCCAGGGGAAAGGGGACAGCTCCTGATGGAATATTCCTGTCAGAGAATCTCCTGAAGGTCAGTGACCAGCTCATGTGAGCACAAACCAGCCATTCCCAGAATTTTTGGTAGCATTTACACTTCCTGTAAGTTCATTGCTAAGAACAGAAACACTCCAGGCACGGGGAGCACTCAGCCTGCCACACAAAATACTCCCCTGGTGCCTGAGGTTGAAGACACAGGTTTCTCTTCGTGTCATTATAAACAGGTTTATAAACTGCTGAAGGTTTCAAAGGGACATAAAATTCTCCCCAGAGCTTGGAGGCTACAAGGTTCTGGTACCCAAAACTAACACTGGATTGTCTCTCTGCAGATGTGTTAAAGACAGGCTCAGTCTGAAGGCAACTGTTCAAAGTTGTTACTTTATGAGGTAGGAATGTCTTCATTTAAGCACTTCAAACTTTCAAAACTTCAGAGTTCATAGACAAATAATGTAGTAATTCCCATACTTCAGCTGCTTCTGTACCCCTATTCCAAAACATGAAATAATTTTTCAGGCTAATCCAGTTACTTTCACAGGACTTTCTAAAGAATAACTTGTTAAGAGAGGAGGAGCTAACAGGGGAATTCTTTTTTACCAGGGAAGTTGCTGCAGGATAGAGTCCTTCAGTGTTTGACTGACTGTTCCTTGCAGGTCATGAAATGTGATGCTGATGAGAATTTTAAACAGCTTGAAATCCATTGGTACAGGTATCCAATGTATAAAATTAATTCAGACTCACAATGAAATTCAGAGGTGAAACTAAGACTCTGTAAACTACTGCTGATAAGAATTAGCTCTATTTTTTTAAAGTGGGCAGCATCCAAACACTCTTTAGGTGCCCAAGGTCTCCCAGGCTCAGCCTCCCTGCATTCTGCAGCCTGTCTCTAAGATCCCTCCAGAGGTTTGTAAGGTGAAAGACCTGGCTTCCCATCCCTCCCTGGTCTGAAGTCCACTCACTAATTGCCACTTTGATAATTATGCTGCAGGTAAACAATAAAAGTGTTGTGGGCTGGACCTTGATAAAGCTGTAGCTCAAAAGACCGTTCTATTTTTAGCTGCATTTTTCAGCTAAAGGGAAGAGTTAAGGGCTGGGAAGTGCCACGCTGGTTGCTGGGCCAGGCTGGAGCTGTGACATCTCTGTGATTGCTCACAGATCAGATTGCACCATCCCCTGGTCTCACAACTCACTCAGTCCCTGCTCTGGTGATGCCAGGACCTGTGCCAGGACTCTCCTGGGCTGATTCCAGCCCCATCCCCTCCCTGCCCTGCTGCCAAATCCCACTGGGTGAAATCAATACTCACCCTTCCCTGTGGGTTCCTGCTTGCTTCGGTCCTCAGGTGTTGGTGGGGGGCTCGGGGGAGCACTGGGGGCCTGGGGGGCTGGTGGGGCATCCTCTGGTCTGAAGATGGACAGGAGAGGCAACTGCTTTTCCTTGATAGAGCTGGAAGCTGGGCCTGGCTTGGGCTTGACAGGTGGAGGTGTTTTCTTCTCCTGTGGCACAGGAGGTGGCTGCAAGACAGCAAAAACATTCGGGCCAGTCTTTCCCTGCATTGCTGGGCTCTGTCCTGACACTGCTGGCCTAAATCGTCCTAGGGCAGCAGCCCAGCCCTGGAGCAAGGTCTGTGTGAACAGCCCACCATGCCTTTAGATCAACACAAAATCTACAAAGAGATGATCAACCAAACCCAGAGGACCAAGTATTTGAGATCAAAGCCTCCAGTTTGGAAAGGAAAAAAGGATGTTAACAAGCCAAAGCCTTGGTGCCAAACATGGAGAACATGAGTTGCTTGCTTCCAGAGCAGCCTTAAGCATCTCACAATAGGACTTGCTGCTCCAGAGCCTTTTCTTCAGGACCTCAGCTGACTTTACAGACTGGAGCCCAGTCTAGGGTGGGCAGCACCATGGTGTGAGCCCCCAGCTATCTCACAACCCAACCAGAAATCACCTGGCTGCTACTGCAGCACCAGGGAGAGCCCAGCCTGCTGGACATGGGATGGACAGGCTCTGTTTGCTGAAGCAACCAGAGAACAAAGAACTCACTGATGGCTGAGGTGAGGCTTTCATCATTCCCAGCTTGGCCAGAGCCTCATTTTTGGGGTCGTTCTTCTTCATAAATGGTTTGGATACTCTCCTGCAAGGGAACAGGGAACAGCATTATGGGGTTTGGGCACAATGGAGGCACATGGCAGAGCTGGGAGAGAGGAGCCCAGGTCCCTGCTGGCCAAGGGGGATCCCCCACTCTCACCTGACAGGCTCGATGGGCAGGGGCTCGGGGGCTGGTCTGCTCTGGTACATTTTGATGATGTTCCCAATCTCACGGCTGGGTGCAGGACGTGACTCAGGGCCTGAAGGCTTCACTACAGGTGGCTCCTTCCTTGGTTTTGGTGTCTCCTGTTTTGGCTTTGGCTCAGGAGGTGGCAGAGGGGAAGGAGGAGCTATTGGGGTGACAGCTTTAATCAACAGACCAGCAAAGACACAGGAGAAATCCCTTTATCTCATTTGACCTTCCCTTTCCTCCCTCTGATGCTGACTGGCAATGGCCTGACATTTCTCTTTCCCCTCCTGTCAAGATGCAGACTCCCAGAAGAGGCAGATTCTTTCCTCCCCTGCCTAAATCCTGGCCTGATGTTCCTGGACAGTTCTTTCTTGTCAAGCTGCTTGCATCTCCACTGCACAACATCTTACCTGGCTTTGGTTTAGGGACAGGCTTCACTTCTTTCCTCTTCTCCGGCTCCTCTCTTTTCTCTTCCTCCTCCTTCTCCTCCTTCTCCTCCTCCTCCTCCTCCTCCTTTGGCTGGGGTTTTGCTGGAGGAGTCCAGGTTTTGCTAGGTCTGACTTTCTTCACCCGGATGTGCTGTTCTCCTGCACAGAAAGGGGAACTTGAGCTAGTCAAAGCCACACCAAAAACCTGGCACTGATGGCACAGTTCCCACTCTTGCCTAAGTCAGCAAAAACCTCTTTTTCTAGAGTGAGAGATGTGGCAGCCACAAGCCCAGAGATTTCTAGAAAACTGCCCCCACAACAGCTCACAACCTGAACTGTAGCTAGCTGAACAAGGACCCCAAACTCCTGTACACACATCACCAGCAGCTCCTGCAGGGAGTAGCTGAATTCCAGACAGGGAGACAAGAACACCTGGGCATGCCAGGAAGGCAGCAGAGCAAGGTGTCACAATGAGTGAAATTCCCAAAGTGGCAGATGCTCACCCATCTTCTGGAAGTACTCTCTCTTCTGCTGGAAGGTTTCCCGAGGATAATCATCATCCTCATTGCTGGAGAATTCCTCTTCCACATAGACATGATCCTGCAGACAGTGCACAGCTTCTTCATACCTCTAAACAAGTACCCCTGCAGTGCCCTTCAGCTCAGGGGTGATTTTGTCTCAAGAAGTTCTGATCTAGAACCTCTCCACATGCAGGAGTGTCCCAATAGGTCACATTCTAACACAAGGAGCCCTCAGCCAAGCAAAGAGAAGGGGGATTATGTTAGAGGCCCAACACAGTCTGCTGGAAGATAAAGAACTCAGAGTGATTAATTCTCCTGTGGAAAAATTTATCTTAACTGGAAATTAATTGGCCAACCCTGCAGCCAAACCTCCAAAGAGCAAAAGCCACTAAGGTTTGATCCTTAAAGATTCAGCAAGCAGAGTTTGAAAGGTCCCAGAATCATCAGTAAGAACAAATCTGTGCTCTCCTCTCTGCCAAACCACAGACACACATGGATGGATGCAGAGCAAACACAAAACACAAAATTCCAAATCCAAAAAAACCCAACCCAAACCAAAACAAAACAAAAAAACCCAAACCAACAAAAAACCCCCGAAACCCAAACAAAAACAAAAAGAAAAAACAAAACAAAACAAACAAACAAACAAAAAAACCCAACAAAACAAAACCAAATCCACCTCAGCTCCTTGTTTCTCATACCGGCTCTTTTGCCTTAGCTGGTGGCTCTGGAGAATTTGGTGTTGCAGCAGCCTGGCTGCTGGAAGGGTTCTTGGGTTTTGGGAGAGTGGCTGGGGCTGAGGCTTGTGCTGGGCTTGAGACTCTTGGCTTTGAGTTCTCAAGAGACTTTTGCCTCTTCTGCAGCTCCTGCTGCTGCTGCTGCTGGGAGATGCTCATGGCTTGAAGGGTCATCTGCTGGGCCTGGGGAAGGAATTGCAATGTCCATGAGCTCTAGGCTACACAAACCCAGCCAGCAGTCACAGGCTGTCCTGTTTTTTCACTGTTAATCAACCCCAAAACATCCACATGGTGCACAGCAAATTTCCCAGTGTGTGGACAAGTGTTCTCCCACCTGGCCAAGGATGCAGAGCTCCTGACACCCCCCAAAGGCTCAGCTGCCAGCCTGAGGCTGCCATGCACTCACAGGGCTTGGCACAGAAAGCAGAACACTGCAGACCTGAATCTGTAGCAAATCCCAGCTTAAAACCCCATGGGAATAAGAGCTGAATCTTCTCAGGGCCTGCTCCTGTCCCTGCTCCTCATTCACTGCAGGTGCCTCAGTGTCCCCATGGACACAAAGGGCCAAAAAGAGGGTTCCCAGTTTTGTGGTCTTAAATAATCCCCACTTTATAGAGCTCACCCCAGCACAGGAGCACGAAGTGGCACAGAGCAGGCACAAAGGGGAGGAGAGCTGGGCTCCCCTCCAAGGCACAAACACCAATGTGTGGCTCTTCCCCAGTTCCTGGGGCCCTTCCACTCACCATGAGCATGGCTTGCTGGTTGATAAAAGCTTGCTGCTGTGCTGCCAGCTGGCTGGGATCTACAGCTGGAACCATGGGCTGGGGCATCATCATGGCTATGGGAGACAACACACACATCTTCAAAATCCTGCAGGTGAACGTTCCCCACAGAGCCTGAGCATCAGCCTGGAGTGTCCCCTGAGCCCCTCAGCTGACACTGCAATGCCCAGGCTCCACTGGCAGCCCCCTCCCCTCTGCAGTTACAGAAACACTGCTATTACCTGGCATAGGTGCAATCCCACCAGCCCCTGGCATCATGGGCATGGCTGCTGGCATCCCCATCATGGAGGGCATGGGCTGGTAAACTGGTGTTTGAGTCATTCCAGAGAAACCTAGAGGCAAAAAAACAAGTGCACAGTGCTTTGGAGAATCACAAATATGAATATCCTGAGCAACCCCAGAGACTCTTCTGGTGCCCTCCACATGCACCAACCACAGCAGGACACAGCAAAACTCAGGTGGAAAAAAGAAACCTAAGAAAAATGTGTGTTCTGCCAGATTTTAAATAGCAGTGTCCAGACTCTTTCTGGCTTAGGACACCACCATTCTTCATGATAAAGCTTATAAATAATTCCTGCCTGTGTATGATTACAGAAGGTTTCTCTTGAGGACTGGACAAAGGTCTCTGGGGCTGGGATTGCCACATCCATATTGGTGTCTTTGCAGTGGGTGACAAGGCTGGATGAACAATGAGCCCTGGCCTTGGATGGCATCGTGTGTCATGGGGAGGAGCTGTGGGGAGAAAGGAATTCCTCTGCTCTCAGCAAAGTCCCACATGGGGTCACAAACAAACCCCACTGAGTGCAAAGCCAGCAGAGCAAGAGGTGTGGGGGTCAGACCCAGCTGGGGGCAGCCAGCACACAGCACAAATCTACTGAATCATGATGTCCTCACCAGTGAGAATGGCCCTGGGGTGCCTGGGAAGATCACCATGTACCTCACTCATCTAAAAAGCACATAAGTGACAAACTGGCCTCAGGCCAGTGATCTGTAATAGGGCTTGTCATGCCCCAGAGCCTCTCCAATAGCCAGAAACAGTCCTCATCTCAGGAATGACTGAACTGGGCATTCCCCACCTCTCCGAGACTGCTGGGTGTGTTCCTACCCATGCAGATTTGTCAGTGCCATTAATATATTGGTGTTTGACTCCACCCTGCTGCAAATGCCAGTCTTAGCTCCACAGAAATGAAGAAAGGCAAAGAAACCAAACACACAAACCAGAACCTCTTCAGGGTTCAGACTTACTAACCCATGGAATAGCTACAGATGATGGGAAGTTCTGTAAGGAATTAATAAGAAAGATTAAAACCACCCTTGAGAAAGGCACCAACTGCTCTGTGAAAGCATGGGGTGAATAGAAGGTGAATGCATGACTTACAAGTATTTGGGAATACTTACAAGTATTCTAGGGAAGAGGTGGCCTGGGTCAGAAACAAGCTGCTTGCTGCCTTGAGCCCAAGAGCAGCTCAACAAAGAAATGAAAAGCACAACGAAGCAGATCCCCTATCTAACACCTTCCCCAAAGAATCTCACCTGGGAGTGAGGGGTGCAGCCTGTGCTAAAGCCCAGTGCTCTGCATGAACCAGCTGAACATGCAATAATCAGCATTTAAGGGGCTCCCTGACTTGTGCTCACTGAAGGTCAGTGGTGCCAGCTGTTCCCAGCTGTTCCCAGCTGTTCCATGCCCTTACAGACCTGCAGAAGGAAAGATTCCTCTCTGGGTGGGTCCAATCTTCCCCCCTCCTTTCATGCGTCTGGTGAGAATCTCCCTGTTCTCCATCTCCTGCATCGAAATAAACCCAAAACAGTTATCTGAGCTCAGAGGGGCAGACTTCCCAAAGGGAAAGACATTCAAAGGCATGTCTGAGCTGAGCAGGGACAGGGAATAGGCAGGAAAAAGCTTGAAGGACTCCCAGGGACAGGGGAACACCAGGGGACTTACAGGTACTCTGGAGCCCTGATGCAGCACAGGGCTGAAGAGATCATCCACATAGTGATCCAAGCCCACAGGGGTCCTCAGGTCATCTCTAAACCTTGAATCTGGGGCAGAGAGAATTCTGGTGACAAGGCAGGTAAGAAATACTCCCCTGCCTCCAGGCCCTTTAGTCATGTTTCAGAGTGGAGCTCTACAAGAATCCCCTGATTCCCTCTCTGCCCTGATGCCCACCCGGCCCTTCCCAGTGGCAGCCACAGTCCTGGGCTAAAGCTCACCTGGATGGAGACCAACGAGTTCTGGGGGCAGGTTGGGTGGGGGGAAGGCAGGGGCCTGGATGCCTGGAGCAGGAGGGATCCTGTTGAAGAGGAAAATGAGATGAGGAAAGTGCTGAAAGGGGTGACAGGGCCACGGGTGGTGGGGCAGGAGGAGCAGGTGGCTCACGTGTCCAGGTCAGAGGCCTGGAGGATGCTCCTGTCCCTTTCTGGAGTGATGGGGTACTCAGTGGGGGCCTGGGAGGAGCTGCTGAAGTTGCTGGTCTCCTCCATCTCTCCAATTAGGTCCAGCACAAAGTCACAGCCCAGCAGGTCCTGCCATGTGTTGCCAGTGAACATGGAGACAGACCACCCTCGAGTCTTCTTGTCACAGCCCCTGGGAGGGGAAAGGGAGAGGAAGGAAAACATTACATTCAGTTTCTTCTTGCCTTGTCTATCCTGGCTTAAGTCCCTTAGATTTAGGATGTTTAAGAGTCAACCTTTAAGTGCCCAGGGTTAGAAAAAAACAAGAATTATTCAAGATTTGTCCTTTTTATTATTTTTTTTTCTCTGAAGCTGCTCTCACAGATCACACCAGTGGTTCCTCTGTTCCTAAAGGAGCCCACTGTTTATGGCTGAGGGTTATGTTAAGGGTGAAGAAGGGAGCACAAGCTGGAGGGCAAAAGGTGAGTATTCTACACATGATCATATAAATCCCAGCCTGCAGACCAAACCAGTCTGAACCTTAGAGCTGGTGAGAGCCTCTCTCACACCCCCAGACCTTCTCCCATGCTCTGGCAGTACCTTGCACTCAGGATGCAGGCTGCATACTGCTCCCCAGTCATCCAGGACTCCACCTCAGCCGAGAACGTCTCCTCTGGCACAGAGAGCAAAGTCAGCACCCACAGCATCCCTGGCAGGACCCAAAGCAACACCCACACTCCATGGGACACGGGCAGAGCCCAGCTGGAAAGTTTCACACACTCCTGAGCAGGGCCACAGGAGGACTGAGAGCCCATGGAAGGTTCCACATGGACACATTCACATCCAAAATATCTGTCTGATGGCACAGGTTGGCATTTCCAACCTGACAGGTAAAAATCCTTGCAGCGTCCTGGTTTGCTTGGGGATCACTCCAGTCACAAGGACCCAGAGTAGGGATGTTCTGTGTTCAATTCACAGAGCTGCTGGCTGCTCAAGAGGCAGCTTCAGGTAATATTTGAGAAGGGAGAAGGGCAGAAAGTCCCTGTAACAAAATACTGCTGCACAGGGTGTGCTATAATGGCTAGCAGCCCTGTAGAGATGCACAGCCCAAACAATCCTCTATTGAGCAGGGTCCAAACCCAGGACAATCTCATCCCTCAGCCCGAGAAGCAGGTCCCACCAGGTCTAGACTTTGCAAGTTTTGGGTCTAAATTCAGATGCTTGTTTCCCACAGGGTTGTACCAGCAAACAGTGTTCTGATCTGCTTTACTTAATTGAGGGAATTATTTCCCAAATCTGATTTCTGCACTGGAAGAGTCCTTAGAGACTAAAGGACAGCAAGAGGGCAGAAGACTGAGTTACCATTAAAGGTGTGAACATCCAGCACCATCTTCCCTCTCCTCTGGTTTGCTGTCCACTCCAGCTGGGTGGGAGGGTAAGCCCTGGAGGCTGCAGGCTGTGTCTCTGTGCACTGAGCTGCCGTCAGCATCTTGCGCTGGCAAACGGCGCTGTAGCCCTCCATGCCATGGTCTGACACAAACCTGGGCGGAGGAAACTGCATGGAGCACTGCTCTGAACCCCTCTGCAAACCCAGCTCTGTCTTTTCTCCTCTTACTTCAGCAGTGGCTTCTCCAGTGCTGGCGAGGGGCCAAAGCAGCTCAGCAGAGTGGCCATCAGGACCCAGCCTCGCTGGCTGTGCTCCGTGTCTGGGTTCCTCCAGGTCTGGGAAACCACCTGGCTGAAGATTTCATTGCGCAGAGCAGCGTCACCCAAACCTCTCCCAGCAATGTAGTTGCCCAGCAGGACCTCCTGCCAGCCACGGAGGCTCTTGTCACCAATGAACCGCAAAATCTGGAAGAGTTCAGGGCAAGAAAGAGAGAACTGGAGCTGTAACCCTCTGTCCAAAACTGCTGTAAGGAGTTCTGGACACCAGGATGTTTGTGAGCCTGAGTAGCCAACACTCAGATTGGGGTTTGTCCTCAATCAGGTTTTTATGCACCACCAAAGTGCTGGGCAATTTGGGAGCCAGAGACTGGATCCTGATAAAAGTCAGAGTCACTTCAGTCTCTCTGAGGTAAGACTGAGAATTCGCTCCAGGGCAAAATATTTCCTCTTGGGCAGGGCTCAGACACACAAGTAAAATACCACAGGATACTTGCTACTGAGCCCAGTGAGTGTTTAAAAGCCTTTGGTACAGTTAATATTATACCAAGTACTAGGGGATGTGGTGAAGAAATGATTCAGCTTCTGGGCTATGCATATCGACATCTTCACTGCTTTTTTAGTTTGTATTTCTCACCCTTAGATACAGAATTATTTATTTCATCCTCTACACTTCAGTATGTCACCAATTAATTTTTTTCTAAAATGTACAGCTTTGGAAAGAACATTTAAGAGCAACAACACTTCTAAAAACACTTGATACCAAGTGTGTCAGAGATTCACTGAGAATTCACTGGGAAAACAGGATGGTAGTTGTTTAGTTCTCATAGAATTCTTTGTAGCAAATCCCTGCTTCATTAGCAAGTGAGAAAAACTGCCTTTGATCTTTAGAAAAATAATAGTATTCTGCTTAAACACAATCCTATTCACAAGATTTTATTGAAGCTTATGCTCTTCTATAATTGGGATCATGAGGACAAAACAAGAGACTGTTTTAGGTATTAACCTTCTTAACGGGCTTATTTAATTCAATGTAATTCCCAACAAGATTACCAGAATTACCTAGAAAATATCTGGAGTTTCATTTCTATTTTCAACCATTTTAAAGAAGAAACATAACGATATCTATGTTTCATATCCACAGAGATGGAATAGCACCATCCCCTTCACACAAACACTAGAGAGTGAGGGTGTGGCTCCAAGTGTACTTTTCCTGATGACAAAGTCCCTGCCTTTTCCAGCCTTTAAACAACAGTTCACTGTCCCCTTTTGGGAACTGACACATCTGTGAGCCCAAGGAGCAATCGAGATGTTTGCTGTAAACCACATCATGGAAAGGATCTGGGTGAAATTAAACTTCTTTATGACTGATAGATGAGTAAGTGGTTGAGAAGACAGACTTCCCTTATCATTGCTACTGACTCTGGAATAGTGGATATTAAATTTTAACAGTCCTATTCCTGTATGTCCTGCCGAATTCTGAGGCTCCAGCACCAGGCAATTCACTTTGATCCCAGTAGTCTATGGCTGATCTGTGCCTTCCCAAAACCACAGCAACCCTAAGGGGCTGTGTGTGATCTCTGCCGGGCTGCTCCAGGGCCTACAAGGAACAATTTATTCTGCTTTTCCAACCCTCCATGTATCGTAGGAACAGTATCCACCACCAGCAACTTGTTGTATAAAGGGATTAAACATTATCTGTGCCCATCTGATCTTCAGCAAGGTCAAGAACAACATCTCTTACCAGTTTGTTTATCTCAAGTGCACTCTCCTGGTGTTCAGCATCCAGCTGGGTTAGGGGGTGCTGCAGAGGCTTACCAGGGGCAGGGAAATCTGGTTTCTACAAAGAAACAAAAAAGAATAGAAATATTTGCTCCTGATATTGCTAAAACCAGTGTGTGTGCCCCCAGGGGAGGCAGTGAAGAGGGATAAAAACAGTTCCCACCTGGAAATGTGATTTGATGAAGGAGGAGAAGGGATAGCTGTTGATGGAGGGTGGGAGGGAAAGGTCATCCTTGACCTTGACTTCTGGGGGCTGTGTCTCAGTTATCTGGTTGGCCTGTGCTCGGTGTCCTGCAAGGGAAGGAGGTCTGGTGAGGTGGCAGGACACAAAATTCACACAGCAGCTCCTGGCTCACCTGCACCTGTCCCTGCCCCAGCCCCTGAAGCAGCTCCAGGGACACCCAGCCCAGCCCTGCTGCCTCCACCCCCCCGAGACCACAGGGACTCGCTTCAGGAGGGAGATTTTACAGCTCTGACCTTTCACTCTTCTCCCCAGGGAACACCTGGAGATTCAAGCCTGCTCTGCAGCATTTACAGGCAGGAAATGCTGAGCCCATACAGGGATACAGTGCTGAGAACTGCCCAGCCCACAGGGAAATGAGAGATCTTTGTAAAGAGGGATTTATCCTGGGTGAGAGAGGAGCAAACATCACTAAATGAAGGGATTTCCTCAGTGCAGCACAGCCCCTGTGCATTCCTCCATCTCCAGCCCTGTCCCCTGATGCTCTCCCATCCTCCCCATTTCCATCCCATCAGTTTTCATGCCCAGCAGTTTCGCTGTTCCCTGAGCCCCCTGGCTTACATTGCTCACTCTAGACCAGCTGAGAGTCCCTGCAGGGCTCTGCCATGAAATGTGAGGTATTTGGGGATCCAGCACACCAGACCTTGCTGCCTGATTGTCCCTTCTGCCCTCCACAGAAGGCCACAGGCACTGCTGGCTTTGGGTTTGAAATACACAGAGAGAGGAAATTCCTGCCCCAACCTGTTTGCAGCTGAAATATTCCCATTGTACAGAGAACTACAGAGGAAACACAACTGCCCCTAACTCAATGCTCAAGGTCAGATCAACGGCTTGTGAAATTATTGCAGTTAGTGATATTTTGGTGATTTGAAAACCAATTGGTGCATCCCTAAATTGATACATTACCACATGCTAAACTTGTTACATTGTTACATCCTTAAGTTATTGTATTGTTATATCCTTGGACTGATAAATTGTTGTATCTCAAGTTATTACATTGTTCCACAATCAAATTGTTACCATTTTCCCTTCTTTCAGTTTTAAATTTCCTTTTGAGGAAGTAATTTTAAATTAAAACTAAAAATATTTCTTTGCAATTGCCAAAATTGTCATTATCTTCCCCTTCAATTTCCTTAAAGATTTCAGAGTAGGTAAAAGATGGGTTTAGGTTCTTCCACCCCAGATACTCATCTCTGTTAGGGACCTGGGTTCATTAAGCAGTTTGCTGTCTTTGACCAAAGAGTTTTGCACTGTCCCTGCCATCAGTTCTACCAGCCCAGTTCAAAAGAAGAGCTGAAAAATTAACAAAGATTTAACTGATTAACGAAGAATTAACTGATTTTTAAGCTGGTGTTCTGCCCTCTGGCCCAAGTTGTTTTTCCTCCCTACCCTGTCAGGAAACAACATCCATCCATTTGCCTTTCTCGTATTTGCACTGCAATGATAATGAACCAAATCCAACCCAGTGACAGGCAGCAGAGAGAACAAACACATACATTGGTATAAACAAGGAAATACTGAGTGAAACAGTGCAGGGAAGGAAGAGGAGAGGATGTCTCACCTTCAACAAAGTGCAGGAGGGCTGAGAGCTCTGCAGGGATCTCCAGCAGCCCCACGTCCTGGAGAGAGAAACAAATCAGTCACTGGCAGCAGAGAAACCACTTAGAAACCCTGAGCTGAGACTGGGTGAAACTGCTTTGGAAAAGCTGCCAGGACAGGGATGGAGCATCTGAGGCAAAGCAGAGAATTCTGCCTCCACAACATTCAGAGCCATTGCAAACTGGGAGGTATGGCATGAACACAGCTGTGTGACATGGGTCTGCAAAGGAGGGAAAGGAGAGCAATTCCTAAATAAAAAAATCAACTGGCACAAGTGGAATGGCAGGAAAGTTGGCTTTCCTTGACTTATCCCTCATTCCTATCAAGTCTGGCATATTGCACTGCAGAGATAGCACCTGAAGGGCAAGGGCCATTTCTTCCTGCACTTTCCTGACATTTTTCTTTTGATTTTTCAGTATTCACAAGTGCTACAGCATAAAATGAGACCTGATTCTGATCTTTGATATATGTTGGAGGCTCCTAAGAAAGCTCAGATCTCTACCTGGGGAATCCAGATGAAAATGTGGCCAATGAGTCTTGATTTTTCACTGGTTTGCTTCCTACTCCCTTGCACTGCTGCAGGGTAGGGCCAATAGAACACAGTGTGTCAGCATCTGCATGTAGAGACAGCTCAGGGCATTTCAGACAGAACTACTCAGATTAAGGCACTATAAAACCAAGCCAAATCTGGAGGTTTTGGTGGTTTTTTGGTTTCTTGTTTTTTGTTTTTTGTTTTTTTTTTTTTAAGATCTGCATAGTAAAGCCTCTTGTCACCAGCACATTATTCTGACATCTCTCTCTCCACATAAAGACAGATACACAGCATTTTTGATCAGTTTGATCTTGCTCATGAGAAGATATTTGACTTCAAGCCTGGCTTTTCAATGGTGTATTCAGGAAGTGGGCTGTGAAATTGCACAATTCTGAATCCACACCTGAAGAATCAGGTCATACAAGAGCACCCAGGACTAATTATTCTCGTTGTTACTGACAGATCTATACATAATTGTGAACAATATCAATTCAAATCCCCTTGATACAGACCCTGCAGCAAATGTGTGTCCAGTCTAGACACATAAACAATGGCATTAGTTAGAAGTGTTGATAGAGGCCAAATGTGTTATGAAGTCTTTAACACATCCCTTCCTCTACATCAGCTTCTGTTAATATATTTATGCAGAAATGGCTCATTCCACTCCTCACAATAGAAGATGATCACCAAAAATAATCTTCCCTCCACCTCTGAAGACCAGGTCCAGTGCTGTGAACAAACACAGTGCTCTAACTCAGGACTGATTTACAATGCCTGGCTATGCCCAGAGTCTGGGAAACCCTGAACTAATGAGATATTTCTGTATTAGAAGGCCCTTTTTGCCATCTAACCTGCATTCTGCACTGGGTTCCACACATGTGTGCCCCCTTTAGATGTTCTGCTGCTCCCCAGCAAACCTGGGCTGAGGAGGCACAAGGGAGGGAGGACACCTGGAGAACCCGATTGTTTTGGATCTCAGCCCCTCCCAGACCGTTTGACAACTCACCATTCCTTGGCTGGGAATATTCTCTGTGTCACCACAGGCCAGGGAGCTCCTTCTTTGTTTCCTTTCCTCTAACTCCTGCTGTTAGGAGATGAAAAGGGGATGGAGGGTGGGAAAAGATGTGTATGAAGTCGATTCCAGCTGTTCTGGGGGCAGATGCTGTGGGTGGGCAGGAGATGGGGTCCTGCTCCAGCAGATAAAATAACAAAACAGCTACAGAGCCTCCTTGGGACCCCAACACAGTGTCTTGAGAAGGAGCTGCCCAGGCAAAGACCTGAGCTTTGCTGAAACACCTCCTGCCCTTCACACACAATTCAACAGCCAGAGCCTCCAGCACCTGCCCAGCACCCTGCCAACCTTCCCTTGCTGAGAATTTGATGGGCTCAGGACTAAAGCACCCAGCAGCTGCCAGAAACATTTCCCTGCATCCTTCAGCATCAAAGCACATGCTAACAGCCTGAACATGGACAGATGAACTCACTCATGGAGGGAAAACCCTTTAGAAAGGTGGGAGGGATACCAAAAGCTAAACTTCCTCACAGCTCTGCCCCTTCCCATCCATTTTATTGCTCCCCATCACTCACCTGACTCCTACTGGAGATGGGGAAGGAGAGTCTCAGTCTCAGTCTCTGTCTCTGCCTCTCTCCTGCCTGTCAGGTGTGCAGAGCAGTGTGACTACATGGGAGCTTGTGAGGGCTGGGCTGAGAAAGACAGTGGCAAGCTAAAGTCCAAAGGGCAGGGCTGTGGGGTGGGGAAAAGGAGGAACTTTGCAGCAGGTGAACTTTGAGACCTTTTCTGCTGCTAGTGCACGTAAAGAGACCTCAGCAAACAAACACTGAAGGAATAGAAACAGATTCAAAAGAGTTGCACTGTTGTGGTTACATGGGAGAAAAAAAAAGCTGGATCCTGTCCAAGTGGGAAGGGCAAGAAACAATAGAAACTCACGCTGTGAGGACATGGCAGGAGAGGAGGCACCTCTGCAGGTTTGTATCAGCACCAGTGTCCTTAACCCTCTGCCCCACCGTGCCCTCAGCCAGGCCAGCAGCTGGGCTGGGTCCTTCCCTTGTGAAGCTGACAGCTCTGAGATGTTTGTTGCTACTCTAAGGATGAGTGGTCTGATTTCCTCTTTCCAATTTTATTTTGATAGTTTGTGCAGAATACATTATACCCATTTGACAGAACCATGGCTCTCTCCTGTACATTATTTTTCATCCTCTCAAAAATCTGCCATCCTGTTCTCACCCCAGCTGATTTCCAAAGGCCAAGGGCTTGAGCAGCCTGAGGCAGCTGTAAGGGATCAGGGCAGGATCATCGTGGGCTGGAAAAATCTTGCATTGCAGTCACCATCAGAAATTGAACTGGACAACAAAAAAAGCGAAATGAATGACTCCTTACAGCTTGAGCAGAACAGCAGCTCTGAAGACCAGAGATGGAACCAGCTCTTGTCCCATGTAGGGCAGCCTGGAGTGATGCCTGGAGAGGCTTCCTACAACAGAGGCTAGACAGAGTTAAAGTGGGAATTTATTAAAGGCCTTTAATAGATACACCTTGGGGAGTGCAAAAACCTCACAGAGGCTACACCCGAGATGGACAACGGTCAGGAGTTTTTCAGACAGAAATAAGCTTGGTCTATCTGCATATCAGAGGTTAATTCTCCAATTACAGCTTCAGGTAATGAAGTCACATTCTCCCAGTTTGCTCCCCCCTAATTCACTTTTGTTTATACTTCTCAGAGCCTGGGGCTGTGATGGTGATCTTGGTTCCCAGGCCTGGAAGAATTTTGTCTGACCAAAATGTGAAGAGACCTTGCTAACACTCTGTATGGGGTTCAGAGTTACATCCTAATGCAATTCAGGATCTGAAAAACATAAAAGCTAAAAACTTAAGGCATCATTCCCACCCTGGCTCTCACAGCCAGACCTGTGACTCAGCTGTGTTTGCAATACCTGTGCCAATTGTGAATGTCATTTAGAGAGAGGAGGCTCCAGCCTCTGTGGTTCCTTCATCTGACTACATTTATGTCAGACAGAGGGTGAAGGACACCTCACTGGGTAGTTCCCAGCAAACCTTCCAAAGCCATCCCTGCCCTGGCTCACCCAGTCCTCAGCTCACTCTGCTCAGGGCAGCAATAGCCCCTCCTGTACACCTTGCTCTGAGAGCACTGTTGTTACCTGGCAGTGCTTCCTCCATTTAATCAAAGGTCTGGAGATTAAAATCATGGTTTTAAACTGCACCAAAGTCTTCTTGAGCCTCCTGTAACGTTTCCTAGAGGATGAAGAAAGAAGAGAATTGTCTAATGAGGGACGCCTCAGCCACACAAATACACATGGAGCAGAGAGGAGAGACCTGGACATCCCCACCTGGCTGACCCTTGGCAAGACCAAAGGGGGGTCCCTTGGCTGGCCTTGGACCCCTGACCTTGCCTGGTAGCCTCTGAAGTGAGCCTGGATCACCGTGACCTTCTCCTGGAGGACACGGAGGCGCCGGCGCTGGAGGAGGCGCCGGAATTTCCTCTGCAGGGTGACAACAGCCCAGCTCTGCCTCTGCAGCCACAGCCTCTCCAGCAGCTGCCTGGCCTCCTCCTTCAGGAACACCTGGGCAAAGGCAGCAGCTGCTGATCAGTCACAAAAACTGCTGCTTTATCCCTTTGGAGCCTTTAGGGGCTCTTGCTAAGGAAACTGGGGAGGGCGCAGGTGACAGAGATGGATGCATTTGTGGTGGACAAGGAATCAAGGAGGGATGAAGGTCAGCAAAAGTAGAAGCCCAGGAATGCTGGGTCTAGAAAGTATTTGGCCATGCTACAATAGCCTGGAGCTGGAGTCTCCTGTTAATGTGAAGTGCTAAAAATGCCTCCTCAGTACTTGAGACAAGAGGCAAAGGTGAGAGGGGAAGGTGTGCAAGGCCCTCCCTCCTTGGGCAGAGGCTGAGCTCCTCTCTGTGCTTTGCCAGCCTGGGAATGGCTGGGTGGGGCAGATGGGATCCTCTGCAGGCATCACCTTTGTCACTCCAATCTGATAGAGGTCCGAGGGGCTCCCCAGGACGTGAGCCAGCACTGCTGCACAGCCTGCTCTCTGCTCCGAGCTGCCGAGCCTGCCCCCAGCCAGGAGCCCGTACCTGGCACAGGAGGAGTGGCTGTGACAAAATCCAGGGCTCTACCTGGAGCCCGCAGAAAACAAACCACCCAGGGCTGGGGGATCCCAACCAGCACCCCCCTGTACCTGGCCAGGAAGCTCTGGAATGGCAGACGGACTGGGAATCCCTCCTTTTGAATGTGGATGGCCTCCAGAATCCCAGAATGTCTCAGCTGACACTTGACATACTCCACATCGAAGATATTTGGCAGCTGCAAAGATAAAGCAGGAGAAAAAATGAAGAACAAAAAAAATAAAGAAAACTTAAAGAAGGAAGACTGAAGGCAGGGAGTTTAGAAAGGGTCCCCTTCTCTTGTCCTGTCCTTGGATTGGATCTTGCCATGGAACACAAAGCCCAAGGAATACTTTGGTGTCCAGCTGACCCTGCTTCTGCTTCTGCAGCACAGGATTAACTCACATGGCCACAGGGACACAGAAAGGGGAAGAAAAGTCTCAAGCCATCAAATGAAACAAAGAAGTGTAAATCCCAGCTGTGAAAGGAGAAGAATGAGGGAACTGAGGGACTCCATAAGGAGCTCGGGGTGCTGCCCTACCTTCCTGGGATTAGGGGTGATGCAGCGGATGAAGAAGGCATGGCTCCTGCAAAACAGAAGGAAGATCCTTGGGTCACCTCCTCTCTGTGCTGACCCTGGAAGACTTCAACCTGTGTGTGCCAACAGCATCTCTCACCCTCTCAGCTTGGCTGTGAGGTCCTGCAGAGACTGCTGGAATTTGGACACCAGTGTGGAGTTTTGAGGTCTGAGCCCTCTGCCCCCCAGCTCCCTTCGCTGACTGCAGGCAGCTTTGGCTCTCTGGAAAATGTGAGACACCACCTGCAAATACAAAGAGATTACCAAAACTCACTGAACTATGTGGAAAGAAGAATCTCTTCTACCTGAAACTTCAGGGAGCCATTTTCCCTTGCCCCAGCAGTGTCAGGAGTGCAGCTGCATCCCCAGGCACTCTGTGTGTTTTATATATAAGAACATCAATTGCAAGCAAAGACAATTTGCCCAATTCCCAAGTAAATTCAGTAAAATCAAACTTGTTGTTTCTCCAGGTTCTGCTGACACCTGATCAGCAGCTTTCTGCTTCTCACATAAAGACAATGAGTGGATTATTGTGTGTCTGCAGTAGAGATCTTCCTGCTGACCCACTGCTGTACCTTGAGGCGGCTCTGGGAGAAGATATCCAGCACCTCTGGCCGCAGCTGGTCACGGTTTTTATTGAGAAACTTGTGGACCTGCAGAGGCAAAGTCTGATTTAAAGCACCATTCAGACCACTCAAACACCCCTGTTACACACACTGGGGCTGGGAACAGCTGGAGAGGTGGAACAAGGGGAAAGCCCTGGAGAATGAAGCTGGTTCTTCCTGCTGCCACCAGGGTAGAGAGGACAATGACTTCTGCTTTGAGAAGGGATTGCTCCTCTTCTCCTTCACATCACCCCGCAGGCTTTCACCTCTCTCTCTTTTTTTTTTTTTTTTTTGTCTCCCAGCAGCAAGAGCTTTCCTGCATTTCCAGGGCTCTGAGGCCAATTGCTATTTTGCTTCTGCCCAGAGGCAGCTTAGCTGGCTCTCTTAATAACAACAACCTCCTCTCTTCTGATAAACTGATGCTCTGGAGGGATGCAGCCACAAGGGGAGAGCTTTGATCACAAAGCTGGTGAAGGGGGAGATGCTGGAACCCTGAAGCCTGGGAGTTTTGAGCTTTCTGTGCTTTCTGACACTGTCCCTCAAAAGAGCACTCCTTTTGAATCAAGGCCTTGAAGAAGGCTTCCAGATTTAGGTGATAAAGTTGAAATCACTGGTGTGTAGTCTAAATGGAAGGATGTAACATCACATGGTAAAGGGTTTGGAATTTAGAGTTTTAAAATATAGTAATAAGTATGAGATAAGATGAAGGGTTTTGGGTGGTTGCGGGGTTTTTTTTGTTTGGTTTGGGGTTTTTCGGGTTTTTATTTTTCTTGGTTTTGTTTTGGGTTTTTTATGTCCTGCAAAGATGCTCCTTCTTCATGCTTCAAGGCTGTATTCATTCCTTCAAGCTGGTCCATCAGGACACCCTCAGCTTGTCCCCATGATGAGTTATTTCTCCAGCTGCTCTGAGCCCCTGCCAGCTCACCTGGTAGGTGACAGGGCCAGCATAGTGCTGCACAGTGAACTCTGGCAAAGGCAGCTTGGGCTTGGTGTACCAAGGGCTGTTCCCATGGTGGTAATGACACTTCTGGAGGAAAGTGTGGTCTGTGGCCTGCAAAAGAGATTTCCTGCTGCTGCAGCACACTCAGTAGGCTGCAAAGCCACTGTTAAACTGAAGGTAAAAACATTGAACACTTGTGGGATCATTGTGGGAAGCTTCCTTTGGAAGGGATGCCATGAGAGGCTGAGAGCTGCTCACCTGAGTCAGGCATGTCTGGTCATCCAGGATGCACAGGATGCCGTGGGGCTTTGCAGTAAGGAAATCCAGGCACGACTCTTTGTACATCTTGGAAATGGGAATCCAAGCTAACTGCTCCTGGCTGTATTCCTCCTGCATGTTAAAGGCCAAATCCACTCATGCAAACAAGGACAAATGGAGACAATTAACAGAGGGATTTGGGTTGTTTATCAGCAAGTTAGCGTTTCACTCCTGTTAGGAACTTGCCTAGAATTGTCTGATTTTGTCTCATGAAACAGTGGCTTCCTCTAAAGCCACTACTGATTTTCCTGATTTGACAGAGGAAGGCTGCTAAGTGATGAAGTGAACTGTAGAAGGCAACAAGTCTGATAAAAACACTTTCATCCCCAGGACATAAGTGGTACAGAAAATACTACAGAGGAGCCAAAGAGGCTTTAAAAGTACCAGTGAGGTCTGGGCTCTGACCTTGACTTATAAAATCTGGAAAAGGGAGCAAGGTACTGACAAAATCTCCCTCCCTTAATTTGCAGTAGAATTAATAAAAGGTATTAAACAGGCAGTTCTTTGGACTAGGATTCCATGGATATTGCTGAGAGGACCATTCAGTTTCCTGTTCCCTGCAGAGGGATGCTCTGAGGATGCCTTAGCTCAGTCCATGCCTTCATGTGGTGTGAATTCCCCCTTACCTCTTCCTGGGCAATGACAGTCTGGCTGAAGAACCACTGGAGGTGCTCATTGGCAAAGTTGATGCAGAGCTGCTCTAAGCTGTTCACTCCCAGATCCTGCAAAGACAAAAAGGGATCATCCCTCCCAAGGCCCAGGGAGCTGTGAATGCTGCACAGGCTGAGCTGTGCTGAGCTGCTGCTTCTGGCTGTGAATGAACCCTGACAGCTCAAACCATCTTCTGTCTTGGTTTGCAAGCTCTCAGCCTGGCTTACTGACCAGGCTCAACAGCCAGACGTGACACAAGCTGTGAAGGAACATAAAGAAAAATATATCTACTCTTGGATGCACAGCCCCACCTCTGTGTTCCATTGTTTTCATCACTCACTGGGACACACAGGTTTTAACAGGAGCCCTAAATAAAATATCCAAGGCCTTGGTGAGCACATGCCCTCACTGCTCAGGCCACAGCAAAAGAACATTAAAAATAACCTCAAAGCCATGGATATCCACAATGCCCACGGCACAGTCAGACTCCCAGGGAGCCAACCACTCATTGATCCTCAGCAGCAGCCACTCGAAGAGCAGGGAGTACAGAGCCTTGGCAATGGAGTCCCTGAGTGGGAGAGGGGAGAAGAACCAGTTACTGCCCAGCCAGCACCTCTGGGTGCATCTCACCCACCCAGACACCAGCAGAAGTCACCTGGCATCAATGGCTCCTTCTACAGACAGAGGGGTGAAGATCCGATCATAAGATGTAACCTGGATACACAAAGAGACAGAATTTACTCTTATTATCTCACAAAAATACCTTGTGTCTTTTTCTTTTCTTTTTTTTAATCCACAAGGAAGTCACCCAGTTAATAAATGGATTTTTTTTTTCTTTTTGGCTGAGAATTTACCCAGATATTAAAAGGAAAACTAAACCCAGAATTTTGCCGGCAGAGGTGGGAGTCAGCTGGCCAAAATGATAAACCTGAAGCCACTCCTGTCAGAATAAGAGCCTTGCTAGATGTGAGTTCTGCCATCTTTACAGAGGAGTTCAGCCCATCCCAACTGAGAAGAATGTTGGGTTTGTCTTTGCAAACAAACTGTGTAGATAAGACTGGCACTGAGAGATAAAAGAAACAATGGGATGGATTCCACTGATTGATGAATGGAAAAAAGATATTTGCCTTTACAAACGAACTGTAGGTTTGCTGATAAACAAAATTGGATATTGAAAGCTGAAAAAAGTAATAGGGAAAAACCATGAATTCTATAAGAATTAAAAATGAAAAGGGAGGGTTGTGCATTAGAGGGGAATTTCAGGTATCAGGTGTTTGGGAAGTCTGTGCCTCTCAAGTACCTCAGCCAATGGGGAAAGAGAGAGGGAAATGCAGCTGGGAAATTGGGATAAAAAGGAGGCTGCGTCCTCCAAAAATTTGAGGGTTCCCAGGGGAATGCCCCAGGGCCTCTCCCTTTATTTGAATAAAGCAAAAAAAGGACACCTCTGTCTCTTTTTTGGACATAAACCTCTGGTGTTTGTGAATTAATTTTCCTGACACAACCATTTTATTCCTGCTGTTACCTCCCAGATTTTGAACCTTCTAAGTTTAGGGCAGCAGGGCATTCTGTGCTGCAGGAGGAATGAGAAGTCCCAGAAAGGTACTCACAGTGACACGGTGAGTGACAGCTCTCTGCAGGACCTCTGCTGACACCCGCAGCAGATTGGCCACAATCTGAATCTCAGTGCCACTGGCGATGGCTGCATGCTCAAAGGATTCTTTCTAAATAATAAAATGTTCTTTATTACACATTACCATTCATATATTGCTATATCTTATAGATAGGAGTAATGGATGGGATACAATTTGGATTCATATTCTCAACAGCACCTCAGCTGCACAGAGCTGGCCACAGCCTGGGCAGAGCACCAGGTTCATTTTGGCTCCTTAAAAAGCCACCCAAGCTCTAATGACCTTTGGTTGCCTCCCCTCTTCTGTCCCTGCCTAGACCAGTCCAGAGCCCCACACTGAAAGAACAGAAAGGTCTTCAAAGGATGTCATCCTCTCTCGGGAATCGTGTCCTCGGTCCCACCGCATGAGACAGCAATATTCAGCATAAGTATCCTGTTCCCAAGCTGTTGGGGTTACTGTACCTCACAGGAGGTAAAGCAGATGTTCCCCAGCTGCAGCACAGCAGCCAGGACAGCCCAGGTGCAGCTCAGCTGATCTTCGGAGAGGCTGATTCCCTCCAGAGCTCGCACCAAGACCAGAAAATCCCGACTGTCCTCCTTGCCCAGGACATCACATGCTCTGCCCTGAGACAAAAGGGACAGATAATCGTGGTCAGCCCCTCTAGCCTCAGGCTGGGGTTAAGCCACCATCAGGAATCTTCAGAGAACGAGTTCAATGTTTAAAGGACTGGAGGAATCTGAAGAGATGAAAGACACCAGTAGTGGAGACTCAGCATTTGTAAAGGGCCAATCTCTTCACTCTCTGGAGTTTTGAGATTAAATCTCCCTTACCCGCACCGCCAAGTTTCTGCTGGAATTCCAGCACAAGCTCCCCAGGATCCCCTGCTGGGGTGGAATTTGAGAGAGATGGAGCCTGAATGGAGTCCCAGGTAAATGATGGCAGGGTTGTGCACCCAGGGTTAAAGCCTCGGCCATGGAGCTTCACCACATCATGGGCTGTCACTGCTCTGCTGCTTGTGTTCCCTACAGGAGGACACTCCTAATGTCCTGTGACCCGAAAGGTCACAGCAATCCCGGGGCAGGGCTTCTGCAGAACCTGTTTGTGTTCAGGGGGATTCTTTCACCATAGCTCCCAGCAGATTTTGGTGACACAAGGATGAGATCCAGGCATCCCTTGGGCTTCTTCTTGCCAAGATCCACAATAGATTTTGTCAATCTCTGCTAACTCTTTTGTGCCTAATCTGATTTTTTTTTTCCCCCTTTCCTTCTCTGCAGCAGGCTGGGATATTCCTGCTAATTATCACCTTGAAGGCTTTGCTTTACAATGCTTTGCCAGCCAGGAGCCATTAATCACCCATTAAGGGCTGGGCTCTTAATTGCCCTCCATCCTTGAGTCATTAATGGCAGTTGTCAATTCCTCGCCTGGGGGTGAGGTGATCGCAATCACCATCGAGGATTCCTCCTGACCGCAGCTGCTGCGAAGAATTTGAATTTGCCACCTGGGAAAGCTGACTCACGCTGAAATAGGAAAAATCTCTCGCTATTGTTGTGACCTCCTTGATTATGGAAAACAATCTTTAAAAAATTCAAACAAAATAAAACCCACACCCCCCCTAAAAAAAAGAGAAAAAGAAAAAAAGTGTTCCAAGATTGTGGCTTAAGTCTGACAAACAAACTCAATTTAAATAATTGCAATCAGCAGTATATTTCAGTGTTTTAAAATCTGCACCCATTGACTCAGTCAATAAAGCAAGTGTTTTGCAGAAGATAGAAAGAAATCTTCTCTGCTTTTAGCAGTCCCACAATAAATTACAAATGCAAGGAAAGGCAATAAGAAAAGGGGTTTTACACCACACGATGGAGCCATGAGTCTACACAAGGACTCCTCCTTAAAGTCCATCCTTTCAGAGCAGAAGGGGCCTGGAAGGTGGGAAAATGATCACAAAAGAGACAAAGATGTTGATTCTTAGATGAGGCATGAGAAGGAGCAGAGTATGAGAAGGAGCAAAGCTGATTTTAGCATAGTGCTTTGCAGGGGAGTAAAGTGATTTGGTGTTTCTGTAACCAAACAGAAAAGATGCCTGGGCCATCTCTGTGTGCCAGCTGCTGCACAGCACCCTCAGCTCACTCACCTGGTTCAGGTAGAAGTAGGACTCAGCCTCCTGCAGGTACATCTCCTCTTTCTGCTCCACGGGCAGCCCTGCCAGCAGCTCGTAAAACACATGGTAGTTCCTCTCACCATGGGCCTGAAGGGACACATTCATGGAATTTTTCCATATGCGGCTCCAAAATCTTCCAGAACACACTCAGAGAGCAGGACACAGACTCTGGGGTCAGCAGGACAAAGTCAGAACCACTTAATTGGAAAGGTTTCCATGGTTTCCCACTGACAACTTAAGAATATTCCATCTGAGAGAAGTCCTTTTCACACAGCTCTAATATTTGACCATTTCCACACTCCAGACATTAAGAAAAACTAATTGAGGGAAGATTCAACTTTCAATTATCCCTAATAAATAGCTTAATTCTGTTTGAGGCAGAAACTTCCTATTTTATTCAAATAAAAGAAGTGATCACCCTGTGCTGCATGGAGGGGACATAGTTCTTGCCAGTAGAAGAAATGAAAAGCAATTCTCAGGCTAATTCCCAGCCCTGTTATTTAACAGTAAATTTAAGATTAAATGTTAATAAGGGAGTTGGGGGACACTGGTCCTCACCTGGAACACCACACGAGACTTCTCCAGCAGGTACTGGGAGATGGATGTTCCCACCACGATGCCACTGAGCACGAGACAACAGAGCCTGTCAGAAGCTGGGGACAGGTTTTCTGCAGACTTGTGTCTCTGCAGATAAGAATGATCTTAGGGGCATCAGTTACATGAATTTCCAAAATATTTTGACAAAACTGTGGGTCTTGGGAAACCAAGCAAGCACAGAATAAAAAGGAAAGTCCTACCGTGGGTAGGGATAAAGGTGAATTCTCTTAACACTCTGAAACAACCATCAGAGTCCCACAAAGTGTCTGTGCCTGAGCTGGGAGTGCAGCTGAGGGTTTGATGAGTGACCTAGAAGAGGAACTGAACAGCAATGGGACAAAGCTTCCTGCTTGTATGAAATTACCCAGGGTAGTGAGGATGAAGGGCAGCTGTGAATAAATGCAGACAGACCTCACAGTGCAGAGTGAGGGAGCAAGGAAATGGCACATGGAACCCACTGTAGATAAATGTAAAGTGATGGGTCCAGACCCAGCTTCACATACAACCTGGCAGGCTCCAATTTAACCACTGCTCCTCCTTAGGACTGAGACCTGAGGGGTTTGATACACAGCTCCATGGAAGAATCAGCTCAGAGCTTGGAAACAGTGAGAAAAAAATCCCCAAACAAACCAACCAAACCGAGAAGTTGGAAAGGAGGCAGGCTCAAATCAGAAAGGTGTTTTTCACAGAACTGGTTAGACCTGTGGAACACTTGTTGAAAGTTGTTGAAGAGGCATCAAGTTTGGATGAGTCCAAGAGGAAACTGGGAAACCTCAGGAGATTGGGGAAGACTCCTGAGCTGCTGCAAATGTAAAAGAGCTCAAGAGGAAAAGCACTGAGTGTATTTGGGCTGTTCTTGCCTCAGGCAGTGCTTGAGGTCAGTGCTGAGGACACAGCAGGGGATCAGATGGCTCCTTGGTATAAACCAGTTCAGCCATTCTCATGTTCTTAATTTAACACTCATTGGAGAACTAAGATCTGTTCCTTTTCGGAGGAAACACCAAAAAAAAAGCAAAATAGGGGTGCAAACTCACCCTCTTCCTACCCTGATGGTAAAGAAGAGTGAAGGGGAGGGAGGGTTATTGTGTGAGCTCTCAGCACTGCTCCCCCTGCTCTCACCCAAACACCCCCTGGCAGCTGGAGGCACCCGAGGAGATTCTTCAACTCACTGTCGAAGGTGGACATTCAGCAGCTTTCCAAAACGGCTGGAGTTGTCATTGAGGATGGTTCTGGCATTTCCAAAACTCTCCAGGATGGGTAGGACACTGCAGGGCTGTGAAGAAAAGAGGGAGGGAACTCTTCAGTAGCAATCACAGGTTTTTAAATCAAAAGGGATTTATGTACCTGTCAGTTTGAAAAGATTAAAAAAAACAAATGGGACTTCGCTGATATAATTCTCACATGGGTAAAAGGTATTTTTAAATGTATCCTGGTATCATTATGTCTATCCAGTGGTGAGTTCCTCTGTGAGCTCTTTACCCTCACTGCTATAATCTTTCACTTTACCTCTGCTCTGTGTTTGTTCAGATTCACCTCCTCGACTCTGCTAAAAGCTCTCTGCTCACACAGATACAGCACTTTGCACAGCATCAGAGCTCCCAGGTGTTAAAATACAGAACGACAAACACACCAGCTGTCCTGCAGCCTTTATGGGAGCTTCACCTTGGAGCACAAACCCTCCCTATTCCAGCCAAAGCAATAAATCAGCACCATGGCCTCTCTCCCCTCTTTGGCTTCTTTTCCCTGCCCATCCCTCAGGGCCTCCAGCCAAGCTCCCTTGCCTGTTACCTGTCTGATCCTGTGGCTGCCAGGTCCCTGGTGCAGCATGGTCAGGTATTGCACAATGGCTCTGGCAGCTTCAGTTTTACCTGATCCACTGTGCCCACTGCAGGAGCAAGAGGTGGAGAAGTTGGCATCAGAACAGAGGAACCTGATCTGGGCACATCAGAGCCCTGCTATAGCAAATCAGAGGGGCTGTGCTGATTTATCTGAAGATCTATCACCCATTGCTTGAAACACTGAGACAACCTGGCAAAATGGGCCCAATTCCACTGGGGAATATCAGACTCCTCTCCCACTCCTCTGAAGTGAAACTAAATTCAAACTGTATTTGCACAGAGTGAAATAAAAATCCACTTTATTCAGGTTCTCCACAGGCAGCCCTCACATAAGAGCCAGAGGGATCAACTTACAGGCAGTGAAACACAAAAGTGGAACTTTTACATACAGAAATAAAACTTTTACATAAAGAAATGAAAGGGCTTCGAGCCAAGCCTTTCAATTCCTACCTGATGACGACACACTGCTGCTGCCCTGAGGACTGGGACAGGCTGTAAGCCATCTCTGCTATGGCAAAGATGTGTCTGCATGGACAGAGACAAACCCTCCTTAGCTGAGCCCACATTTCCACAAGTGCAGCACCAAAAGGTTCCTCATCAGGGATCTACGTTAGAGATGAGCCAGTGTATTGATCAAAGAAACTTGACTTAAAAATCACAGGATGGGTTGGGATGGAGGGACCTTAAAGACCATCCCATTTCTCTTCCACTAGACCTGGTTTTCCCAACTTTTTCCTG